AAGAATCGGTATTAACTACATAAATGACCATTTGTCATTATATGACTTGTCAACGTTGAACTGACGTAAATCAACAGTTTGTGTACGAGCTGTCTCGTGTAGGCAAACATAGTTCCGTCAACGTGTTATGTTCACTGCAGTGAAATATCAAGTGTTATGTTCACTGCAATGAAAATATCACTTTTCTCAACTTCTGAAAACTCAGTCTTTCACACTGAAGTATATAATAAATATCACATCCGCATCTACATCCCGTTCACCATGACCTAAGGGGTGAATCAGGCCGGAGAGGGAACTAGGCATAATGTGTCGGGTCAACTGCAGTATTTGGGTCCCCACTTCGGGGGTTTCCGTAAGGCAACCGCTGCCTTCGGCAGTTTCAGTACGGAAGCTGCCGAAGGCAGCTTCGCTTATATATAAGCGCGCACGCGCAAGCGTGCCGAAATCCGTTAGGAGGCATTTTTTAGCAAAAAGGACCCCAAAAATGAGCTGGACGTGAAAAGTATGGTCTAAAACTCTGCCCCTGTGGGGGTCGAGAGTTTTACGATAGAAAGTGAAGCCGAATTATTGTACTGTCAACTTCTTGTTGTTTGTGGGCGGGACATAAATGACGTAAGACTTCACGTGTCTGATCATGTGACTTTCCTTATATGGACTCGTTACTATGAAAGCAACTTCGCTCATAACTTGTAAATTCATAAAGTGTGGCTTGTACAAATAAAACAGAGTCGACTTGGCGTACAGTATGACATCTTTGCATAGGTATGGGGCGAATGCGGGAATGTATGACAATTATTTTGTTCAAAACATCAGAAAAGAAATATTTCAGTTGTTCAATTGATCAGTTTCTAAGTTCACCGGCCGTGTTTACATTTATTAAACTTAGGAAGCAAAATGATCGTTTAAGAAAAAGATGAAAAAGAAGCAGAAAAAGAAATTGAACTAGGTCTAGATGGATCCACAGACTTAGGTCCTAGAATCTATATGACAGTCAAAACGAATTCAGCGTTTCAAATGATTTGTTTGAATGAGAAAGTATCTATCGATGATCATTTTCCTATGAAAATTTACATGCTTTCATGAATGAAGTTATACCATATTGCGATTTATTTGAAAAAGGGGGATCCTCCCCATTTACCCCCCGTATTTTTCTTTAAAAATATCATAAAGGTGGGGTTGTACCTGCCTTGAACCCCGCTGTGTTGTCCGCCCAACAAAGTATATTGTTCAAGTAACAGAATGAACTTACCGTCGTGCGATTTATTAGAAAAAAGGGGGGTGTAACCCCCCTTCACCCCCCATTTTTACTTTAATATTTCGACAAGGGGGGACAAACACCCCTTGTACCCCCCGTGTGTTGTCTGTGTAAGGAAATACTGAACTGCAGACAGCGTTCGGTAGAAAAATGGCGGCCAACAAATCCTCTCGCTTCGACCGTAAATAACGAACTGCGCATGCGTGGAGCGTTAATCATTCGACAACTTCCGTAAACACGTAAAAACGTTCCTTCCGAAGTAGGGACCCAAATACTGCAGTCTACCCTAATGTGTCATCTGTCAGATGGATTAAACGTCCTGGTTCAAACATAATGTTGTTCATTCGATGCTTGTATCTCGCACCATGAGAGCAACCCATGCTTCCCGTGAAAAGTGACTATGCTTGTCGTAAGAGGCGACAAACGGGATCGGGTGGTCAGGCTCGCTGACTTGGTTGATGCATGTCATCGTATCCCAATTGCGTGGATCGATGCTCATGATTTCAATCACTGGATTGTCTGGTGCAGACTCGGTTTTTTTCACAGACCACCGTCATATAGCTGGAAGATTGCTGAGTGCGGCGTTAAACAACAAACAAACAAAACAAACATGTGTCAATGATAAGAAAAAATACTTATTTTATTCGATCGACATATTGCATAAGCTAAGAAACATGCATTCTATCGAAAAATCCATCTTTAAAATATCAACTAAGAGAAGGCGTAGGGATCCTGATCCCGAGAGATTGTCGAGGCATGTCACGTGGCCTCTATGACCTTACACGACGCCCACATATAGCTTGAAAGTTGTGAAATGTTGCTGCAATGACGTCACTCAACACAAATATTGACATCAGTTGACAAATGTAGAACATATTTCTGACGGCTGTCAACTTGGTGCAAGGACGGTTACTCTCCTTTGCAACATGAAGTTCAGGGTCGTAAATAGACGGCGGCGACGAATGTTATGGTGAGGTGTTTGTTATTATAGATTTTGTTTGTTGTTTAACGCCGCACTCAGAAATATTCAAGCTATATGACGGCGGTCTGTAAATAATCGAGTCTGGACCAGACAACCCAGTGATTAACATCATAATCCACGCAATCGGGATACGATGACATGCATGAACCAAGTCAGCGAGCCTGACCACCCGATCCCGTTTGTCGCCTCTTACGACAAGCATAGTCACCTTTTAAGGCAAGCTTGGGTTGGTGAAGACCTATATAAGCTTTGAGTGAGTGAGTGAGTTGGGTTTAACGCCGCTGGAACAGTATTCCAGTTATATCACGGCGTGTAAGCTTAATGTGGGAGGAAAGGCGGAAGTGATGCAGGTCTCAGACGTTTACCACTTCGGTGAAACCCAGGAGCACGGGTATGGTGCTGACAAACCTAGAAACATAATCGGTTCGAACCGGGATTCGAACACAAAATCATAGGTTTCTGGCGTGCCCAAGGGACGCACCTCTGCACAGCGAATCGCGGCGCCTTAGACGACCGGGCCTTTCGTGTTCCTATAGAAGCTTTGAATGAAGCTTGTCAAATACAAAAGCTGTACATTAAGGACATGACAAAAAACATAAAATAGGTTAATAACTCAGAAGATTGAAGATGCATGCACAGGCTAGTGAACAGATGTACTGTGTGTGATTATGGAAAGTTAGAAGGGTCTATTACGAGTACATATGTCTGGGACACAATAGAGTCTGTAGTGTACAGAGCTACCAATGACGCCATGATAAGCTGGTGACAACACAGAGTCTGTAGTGTACAGTGCTACCAATGACGCCATGATAAGATGGTGACAACACAGAGTCTGTTGTGTACAGTGCTACCAATGACGCCATGATAAGCTGATGACAACACAGAGTCTGTAGTGTACAGAGCTACCAGTGACGCCATGATAAGCTGGTGACAACACAGAGACTGTAGTGTACAGTGCTACCAATGACGCCGTGATAAGCTGGTGACAACACAGAGTCTGTAGTGTACAGTGCTACCATTGACGCCATGATAAGCTGGTGACAACACAGAGTATGTAGTGTACAGTGCTACCAATGACGCCATGATAAGCTGGAGTCAGCACAGAGTCTGTTGTGTACAGGGCTACCAATGACGCCATGATAAGCTGGAGTCAGCACAGAGTCTGTTGTGTACAGTGCTACCAGTGACGCCATGATAAGCTGGTGACAACACAGAGACTGTAGTGTACAGTGCTACCAATGACGCCATGATAAGCTGGAGTCAGCACAGAGTCTGTTGTGTACAGGGCTACCAATGACGCCATGATAAGCTGGAGTCAGCACAGAGTCTGTTGTGTACAGTGCTACCAGTGACGCCATGATAAGCTGGTGACAACACAGAGACTGTAGTGTACAGTGCTACCAAAGACGCCATGATAAGCTGGTGACAACACAGAGTCTGTAGTGTACAGTGCTACCAATGACGCCATGATAAGCTGGTGACAACACAGAGTCTGTAGTGTACAGAGCTACCAATGACGCCATGATAAGCTGGTGACAACACATAGTTTGTAGTGTACAGTGCTACCATTGACGCCATGATAAGCTGGTGACAACACAGAGTCTGTAGTGTACAGGGCTACCAATGACGCCATGATAAGCTGGTGACAACACATAGTCTGTTGTGTACAGTGCTACCAAAGACGCCATGATAAGCTGGTGACAGCACAGAGTCTGTAGTGTACAGTGCTACCATTGACGCCATGATAAGCTGGTGACAACACAGAGTCTGTAGTGTACAGTGCTACCAATGACGCCATGATAAGCTGGTGACAACACAGAGTCTGTAGTGTACAGTGCTACCAAAGACGCCATGATAAGCTGGTGACAACACAGAGTCTGTAGTGTACAGTGCTACCAATGACGCCATGATAAGCTGGTGACAACACAGAGTCTGTAGTGTACAGAGCTACCAATGACGCCATGATAAGCTGGTGACAACACATAGTTTGTAGTGTACAGTGCTACCATTGACGCCATGATAAGCTGGTGACAACACAGAGTCTGTAGTGTACAGTGCTACCAATGACGCCATGATAAGCTGGTGACAACACAGAGTCTGTAGTGTACAGAGCTACCAGTGACGCCATGATAAGCTGGTGACAACACAGAGACTGTAGTGTACAGTGCTACCAATGACGCCGTGATAAGCTGGTGACAACACAGAGTCTGTTGTGTACAGTGCTACCAGTGACGCCATGATAAGCTGGTGACAACACAGAGTCTGTAGTGTACAGTGCTACCAATGACGCCATGATAAGCTGGAGTCAGCACAGAGTCTGTTGTGTACAGGGCTACCAATGACGCCATGATAAGCTGGAGTCAGCACAGAGTCTGTTGTGTACAGTGCTACCAGTGACGCCATGATAAGCTGGTGACAACACAGAGACTGTAGTGTACAGTGCTACCAAAGACGCCATGATAAGCTGGTGACAACACAGAGTCTGTAGTGTACAGTGCTACCAATGCCGCCATGATAAGCTGGTGACAACACAGAGTCTGTAGTGTACAGAGCTACCAATGACGCCATGATAAGCTGGTGACAACACATAGTTTGTAGTGTACAGTGCTACCATTGACGCCATGATAAGCTGGTGACAACACAGAGTCTGTAGTGTACAGGGCTACCAATGACGCCATGATAAGCTGGTGACAACACAGAGTCTGTTGTGTACAGTGCTACCAGTGACGCCATGATAAGCTGGTGACAGCACAGAGTCTGTAGTGTACAGTGCTACCATTGACGCCATGATAAGCTGGTGACAACACAGAGTCTGTAGTGTACAGTGCTACCAATGACGCCATGATAAGCTGGTGACAACACAGAGTCTGTAGTGTACAGTGCTACCAATGACGCCATGATAAGCTGGTGACAACACAGAGTCTGTAGTGTACAGAGCTACCAATGACGCCATGATAAGCTGGTGACAACACATAGTTTGTAGTGTACAGTGCTACCATTGACGCCATGATAAGCTGGTGACAACACAGAGTCTGTAGTGTACAGGGCGACCAATGACGCCATGATAAGCTGGTGACAACACAGAGTCTGTTGTGTACAGTGCTACCAAAGACGCCATGATAAGCTGGTGACAGCACAGAGTCTGTAGTGTACAGTGCTACCATTGACGCCATGATAAGCTGGTGACAACACAGAGTCTGTAGTGTACAGTGCTACCAATGACGCCATGATAAGCTGGTGACAACACAGAGTCTGTAGTGTACAGTGCTACCAAAGACGCCATGATAAGCTGGTGACAACACAGAGTCTGTAGTGTACAGTGCTACCAATGACGCCATGATAAGCTGGTGACAACACAGAGTCTGTAGTGTACAGAGCTACCAATGACGCCATGATAAGCTGGTGACAACACATAGTTTGTAGTGTACAGTGCTACCATTGACGCCATGATAAGCTGGTGACAACACAGAGTCTGTAGTGTACAGTGCTACCAATGACGCCATGATAAGCTGGTGACAACACAGAGACTGTAGTGTACAGTGCTACCAATGACGCCGTGATAAGCTGGTGACAACACAGAGTCTGTTGTGTACAGTGCTACCATTGACGCCATGATAAGCTGGTGACAACACAGAGTCTGTAGTGTACAGTGCTACCAATGACGCCATGATAAGCTGGAGTCAGCACAGAGTCTGTTGTGTACAGGGCTACCAATGACGCCATGATAAGCTGGAGTCAGCACAGAGTCTGTTGTGTACAGTGCTACCAGTGACGCCATGATAAGCTGGTGACAACACAGAGACTGTAGTGTACAGTGCTACCAAAGACGCCATGATAAGCTGGTGACAACACAGAGTCTGTAGTGTACAGTGCTACCAATGACGCCATGATAAGCTGGTGACAACACAGAGTCTGTAGTGTACAGAGCTACCAATGACGCCATGATAAGCTGGTGACAACACATAGTTTGTAGTGTACAGTGCTACCATTGACGCCATGATAAGCTGGTGACAACACAGAGTCTGTAGTGTACAGGGCTACCAATGACGCCATGATAAGCTGGTGACAACACAGAGTCTGTTGTGTACAGTGCTACCAAAGACGCCATGATAAGCTGGTGACAGCACAGAGTCTGTAGTGTACAGTGCTACCATTGACGCCATGATAAGCTAGTGACAACACAGAGTCTGTAGTGTACAGTGCTACCAATGACGCCATGATAAGCTGGTGACAACACAGAGTCTGTAGTGTACAGTGCTACCAAAGACGCCATGATAAGCTGGTGACAACACAGAGTCTGTAGTGTACAGTGCTACCAATGACGCCATGATAAGCTGGTGACAACACAGAGTCTGTAGTGTACAGAGCTACCAATGACGCCATGATAAGCTGGTGACAACACATAGTTTGTAGTGTACAGTGCTACCATTGACGCCATGATAAGCTGGTGACAACACAGAGTCTGTAGTGTACAGTGCTACCAATGACGCCATGATAAGCTGGTGACAACACAGAGTCTGTAGTGTACAGAGCTACCAGTGACGCCATGATAAGCTGGTGACAACACAGAGACTGTAGTGTACAGTGCTACCAATGACGCCGTGATAAGCTGGTGACAACACAGAGTCTGTTGTGTACAGTGCTACCATTGACGCCATGATAAGCTGGTGACAACACAGAGTCTGTAGTGTACAGTGCTACCAATGACGCCATGATAAGCTGGAGTCAGCACAGAGTCTGTTGTGTACAGGGCTACCAATGACGCCATGATAAGCTGGAGTCAGCACAGAGTCTGTTGTGTACAGTGCTACCAGTGACGCCATGATAAGCTGGTGACAACACAGAGACTGTAGTGTACAGTGCTACCAAAGACGCCATGATAAGCTGGTGACAACACAGAGTCTGTAGTGTACAGTGCTACCAATGACGCCATGATAAGCTGGTGACAACACAGAGTCTGTAGTGTACAGAGCTACCAATGACGCCATGATAAGCTGGTGACAACACATAGTTTGTAGTGTACAGTGCTACCATTGACGCCATGATAAGCTGGTGACAACACAGAGTCTGTAGTGTACAGGGCTACCAATGACGCCATGATAAGCTGGTGACAACACAGAGTCTGTTGTGTACAGTGCTACCAGTGACGCCATGATAAGCTGGTGACAGCACAGAGTCTGTAGTGTACAGTGCTACCATTGACGCCATGATAAGCTGGTGACAACACAGAGTCTGTAGTGTACAGTGCTACCAATGACGCCATGATAAGCTGGTGACAACACAGAGTCTGTAGTGTACAGTGCTACCAAAGACGCCATGATAAGCTGGTGACAACACAGAGTCTGTAGTGTACAGTGCTACCAATGACGCCATGATAAGCTGGTGACAACACAGAGTCTGTAGTGTACAGTGCTACCAATGACGCCATGATAAGCTGGTGTCAGCACAGAGTCTGTAGTGTACAGTGCTACCAGTGACGCCATGATAAGCTGGTGACAACACAGAGTCTGTAGTGCACAGTGCTACCAAAGACGCCATGATAAGCTGGTGACAACACAGAGTCTGTTGTGTACAGTGCTACCAAAGACGCCATGATAAGCTGGTGACAACACAGAGTCTGTTGTGTACAGTGCTACCAAAGACGCCATGATAAGCTGGTGACAACACAGAGTCTGTAGTGTACAGTGCTACCAATGACGCCATGATAAGCTGGTGACAACACAGAGTCTGTTGTGTACAGTGCTACCAGTGACGCCATGATAAGCTGATGACAACACAGAGTCTGTAGTGTACAGTGCTACCAAAGACGCCATGATAAGCTGGTGACAACACAGAGTCTGTTGTGTACAGTGCTACCAATGACGTCATGAAAAGAGTCTTGTCGGCGGGTGACGTGTATCACAGGGTGGTATCTTTAATGACTGAGTAATAAGGATCAGACGACGGCGACTCTGCTGATGCTGCCGGTGTTGACGTTGAAGGTCGTGGTTGGTTGTCGATGTTAATGTTTTCATACGCATCCTTGACAGGGATCAGTGAGGTATATAGATCCTTCCCCTTGTTCTCATCTGAACGAGAAAAACATTTTCCTAGCGTTAGAGGCCGACCATTCAATATTCATTCAGTGCTTCAGAGCATACTAGGGCGGTGAAAAGAAGAGCCAAAGATTGTTGTGAACTCATAACCCATTATCCAGGACATCAAGCATATAACTTGTGATTTATTTTATGATCACGCCATCGGAGTACGATGACACAGCATCGACCACATCACCGAGAATGGTCACCCGGTCTATATAGTTCTATGCCTAGAATGTGTTGCTGGGGGCATTATCTACCCGGAATCCCAAAGGGGTGTTATTTTGTTAAAAATAACTATAGACATCGTCAAATAATATAATTTCAATTATATTCTTTTAGAACATATTGTAAACTTTTTTAAATGTATTTTATGGACATTGGGAGCAGATGTGTTGGTCATTCGGAAAACGGGTAAATTCCTCACCTTCTCTGGTAGTTTTGTTGTCACCCTCAGCTTCCGCGCTTGTCAAGGTCTGGGATTGACACTTGGCCTTTGTGCCTGAAACACACACAATCCAGTGATTGACATCATGAGCATCGATCCACGCAATTGGGATACGATGACATGCATCAACCAAGTCAGCGAGCCTGACCACCCGATCCCGTTTGTCGCCTCTTACGACAGGCATAGTCACCGTTTACGGCAAGCATGGGTTGCTGAAGACCTATATAAGCTTTGAATGGAACACACACACACACGCACGCACGCACGCACGCACGCACGCACGCACAAACACACACACACTCACAACACACACACACAAACACACACACTCACAACACACACACACAAACACACACACACACACAAACACACACAAACACAAACACTCACAACACACACACATAAACACACACACACACACACAAACACACACTCACAACACACACACACACACACAAACACACACACACACAAACACACACACACACACAGACAGACACACACACAAACAAACACATACACACACACTAACACACACACAAACACACACACTCACAACACACACACACACTCACAAACACACACAAACACTCACAACACACACACACATAAACACACACACACACTCACAACACACACACACAAACAAACACACACACAAACAAACACATACACACACACTAACACACACACAAACACACGCACACAAACAAACACACACACACACAAACACATACACACAAACACACACACAAACACACACACAAACAAATACTCACACACTCACACACACAGAAACACACACAAACACAGCACTCACAACACACACACACACATAAACACACACACACACATACACACACAAAAACACACACAAAAACACACACTCACAAGACACACACATAAACACACACACTCACAACACACACACACAAACACACACACACAAACAGACACACACACAAACAAACACATACACACACACTAACACACACACACAAACACACAGACACAATCAAACACACACACAAACAAACACACACACACACACACACACACACACACACACACATATATATATATATATATATATATATATATTCCTTATAGGAGAGATGGTTGTGACTCACTTAAAATTGATCAATGGTTAAGTGTTTCTGTTCTCACGTCTCAAAGAAGTCCAAAGTAATACATCTATTCAAATATACTAGCCACATAAAGAAACTGTGCACGGAGAAAATATATTCTGGATTGAAATACAACACAGCAAGAACAAAATGATGCAGACGCTGTAGCAGCTGAATGATCGGACCATTAGAAAATGTCAACGGGACCTGAACAACATCTGTTACGATGACGTCAGAAGATCAAAATGGAGTAGGGGGTCAAACGACAAAGTCACAAAGCCAATAACGGGTATGACCACCCTGTGCGTGAATCACAGCAGTGCATCGGCGACGCATGGAGTCCACCAAATGGGCACGGAAGGCCTGGGGAATGGCCTGCCATATCCTCCTCAAATCCTGTGCCAAGTCACGGACGTTATCTGGAGGATGAGGAAGACGACGCAGACGGCGCTCCATTTCATCCCATACATGCTCTATTGGGGAGAGTTCTGGAGAATTTGCAGGCCATGGCAGTAACATGACATTGTTATGGTGAAGGAAATTCATCGCGACCCTAGCCGTGTGAGGACGAGCTTTGTCCTGTTGAAATGTCAATCCCGGGCCGTGACGTTTCAGGAAAGGAATGACCACAGGCCTCAGAATCTGATCTCTGTAGCCAACACCGGTGTGATTGCCCTGAACAACCACCAAAGGGGTTCGGTGCCGTGCTGTTATCCCACCCCAAATCATCACAGAGCCACCTCCAAAACGATCCCTCTCCACAATACAATTGCGTGCATAACGTTCTCCAAAACGCCGGTAGACACGTTGGCGCCCGTCACTGTGGGAAATGTTGAACCTCGATTCATCTGTAAAGACAACATTTCTCCACCATATTCGAGGTTGGCGAACATGATTTCGACACCATCTTAGACGGTTGACGCGATGACGGTGTGTCAGGATGGGACGTATGGCAGGGCGTCGTGGTCGAATTCCGTACTGACGTAAACGATTCCTGACAGTGTTGGGATGGATACGGCAGAGTCGAGGAATTGTCTGGGACGTCGTTACTGCCGTTTGGAACCTGTGTCGGAGATGTGTAACTCGAATCCATCTGTCCTGTCTTGGCGTCGTTACTCGGGGACGTCCTGAACGTGGGTGGTCGGCAACGTCATTTGTGTTCTGATAACGCCTCACCAATGCCGATATCGTGTTACGATGGCATTGGAAATGTGTTGCCACCTGTTGTTGCCTCATTCCCGCTCGGATCATTCCAATGGCTTCATGACGCTGTGCAGCTGTCAATCTTGGCATGATTTGCTTGTGATATGCTTGTGTCTGCGCCTGAGAAGTTTTGAATTTTTGAATGGCCACAGATCATGCTTTCCAAAGTGACAGCGAATTTTGAGTTGCACATGCTGTGTACAGCTGCACAGGGTGCACGTGCAGTAACACATTGCACGTCCATAGGCCCCCATCAATGACGTCATATCGCATGGCACGTGCATGAGCGTTTGAATGTCTCCAATAATTGCTGTGCTCAAACCTATATTTCATATATGGACGGCGTGTCCTTATATCTATATTTTCTCCGTGCACAGTTTCTTTCTGTGGCTAGTATATAGTTTTATAATTTGATATGAAGGATATATGTCATTGGACAAGCATATTCATTGTAATACTTATAGAAGACGAATATACACAAAATGTTAATTTGGTGAAGACTAATCTAGATTCAGAGATATATTCATCTGGCGGGTTTTCCTAACCTGTTTTATCAGAAAGTTGTCGTAAATGCAAAAATAGTTTCCTGTTTTGAGAGGTCTCTTTTGTCAATTTTGCCTGCTTTGTTTCAAATTTCATATCTCTCAATCCGAAAACACATATATTAATATGCAAATAACAATACGTAAATAATAATCTGTTATTGATAGTATGTATATTAAATTTAAATTATGAGGCTTTTAGACTCACTCACTCACTCACGCACGCATGCACGCACGCACGCACTCACGCACGCACCCATGGTGTTTGTAAAATACTTACACAACACAACAGTGTACACAGCCGCTGTGAGGAGCACTGACGCCACACACGCGATGACCACAACGTACACGGGCACACCTGAAGTGGTTGCTGCAAATAGAGTAGGCAGCAGCCAAGTGTTACACACCTATGCAGATAAAGTATGCATCAAAATCAAATCACGTGTTCCACACTGCTACAAATCTACTTGGAGAAAGAGAAATTTGCCAATCATTCTTAAAACGCTCTCTACTTTTATTCACATACTAACTTCCCTCCCAAACCCCCGTAATGAGTTTCAGGCGTGATAAGATTCTGTTACCTCATTAAACAATTTGAAGGACTCCGATGTGATGCTGGTGACTTAAAATGAGCAATCTGATCACATATGTTAAAAACATTTTGCATCCTTTAAACAGCAATAGGAGATAATGGTGGTGAGTTGAGGTGAAAGGGGTTGAACGTCGCGTCCAAGATTATTGCACTTATATAGCGACGTGTGTGTGTGTGTGTGTGTGTGTGTGTGTGTGTGTGTGTGTGTGTGTGTGTGTGTGTGTGTGTGTGTGTGTGTGTGTGTGTGTGTGTGTGTGTGTGTGTGTGTGTGTGTGTGTGTGTGCGGGTGTGTGGGTGTGTGGGTGTGGGTGTGTGTGTGTGTGTGTGTGTGTGTGGGGGGGGGGGGGGGGGGGGGTGTGTGTGTGGCTGCTTGTACTAGTCCGGACTAAAGCCAATTTATAGTGTTAGCACACTGAGATACCATGCCGCAGTTTTAACATGAATACCCCACTCAGACACAGTATACTGACTCCGAGCCGACCAGTCCTTGTTAATGCCGGGCGTCAGACAGGATAACAACAAGTACCATCTTTTAACGTCTTTTGGTATGACGCGGCCTGGGATCGAACCCCGGACCTTCCACTCTCCGGGCGGACGTTCTACCACTAGACCACGGAGGCGGTCAGAGATATTGGTAGGCTGGGGGCCAAGAGGAACAAGGTTCATGATAGAGATGATCCTTACTGGAAAGATATTATAATATAAGAGGTGTACTTTGACAATACCGGTGAAAATGTATCTGAACCTCTGTGGCTAAATCCCCAACTTTATTATAAGAAATCAGGCTAAAATGGCAAAAACAGTAAACTACAGTTATAACGAACTCAAAGGGACCACTAATTTTAGTTCGTTATAACCGTAGTTTGTTATGAGCATATACAACACATGTACAGATAATGGTCGGGACAAACAAAATAAGTTCGTCATATCAATCAGTTCGTTATAAGCGTGTTCGTTATAAACGTAGTTAACTGTATACCATAACAGATACGTGTAGATACATGAAGAACGAGAACCTCCAGGATACAAATAACATAACATTTTGGACTATACTCGGTTAATTGAACATTGATGCATTGACAGCCTTGGATACAATGTGTACTTATAAAATCCTCGGGAGGAATTGTTGAAACAGGAAAAGAGGATCAAGATATTATTGTGATCTGTACATTTTCGTTTCGGTTTGTTTTAAATGTTTGATAAATCTCTTCGAAGGAGATATTTACTCTCAATATAGGAGATGATGCACTTAAAACTACACAACTTTCAAATCTGAATGGGATCCCGAGTCTTTAAAGCTAACGGATGTGACAAATGGCATCCCCATGAAACTTTTGTTTTGGTTTGGTTTGTTGTTTAACGCCGCACTCAGCCATATGTGACAGCGTATGTGACTGACAATCCAGTGATTGACATCATGAGCATCGATCCACGCAATTGGGATACGATGACATGCATCAACCAAGTCAGCGAACCTGACCACCCGATCCCGTCAGTCGGATCTTACGGCAAGCATAGTCGCCTCTTACGACAAGCATAGTCGCCTCTAACGACCAGCATAGTCGCCTCTTACGACAAACATGGGTTGCTGAAGTCCATACCCGTATCTGTGGTCACTGTGACGGAGGTGTAGCTGCTGGAGCCATAATCATTCAGAGCATTCATCCGAATTTGGTACAGTGTTCCAGGTTCGAGGTCATCAATATCCAGTTGAGGGGCTTCGTCCTCACTCGGCCTGGTTGGATGCGTGGTCCATTGCCCACCAGGTTCTCTGTACTGTATGTTGAAACTCTGTGTGGCGCCACCATTGAACGCTTTCTCCCACTGCAGTGTTACCGAACGTGGGCCGGTGCTTGTCGCTTTCAGGCTGCTTGGTATGTTTGGCGTGGCTGAAAACAATGCGGGTAAATTAGATACATTGCTTTACGTTATGGTAGAAACAGTGTAGCCAGCATATGCACTTGTACAGAAAAGAAAAACTGACTCTGTTAAATTCTTCTTCGCAATATGATGACAGTCACTTGCATAAGTAGACAATGCGTTTACCAACTACATCACAACTTGGTTTGGTTGATTATTGAAAATATCACAGTCAGTTGTGACCTACTTGCTATGTAATGTCCCATTGGATGAATTTGTACCTGCATGATGACGCGATATCTGACAATATTGTATTTTCACCTAACTCAAACTAACATTTTTAAAACAACTGCACAATATATTTTTCTCAAAACTGTTTTCGAAACATATTTACCAAAAAAATGTACTTATGAATCACTCAATTCATTTGTATACATTTATCCTGCCTTTTAAGAAGTATGTTTTATAAAAAAAACTAACTAACATTTGGAAACCAGAGCTATCTTCACTTCCAATTGGCCTTCTGTGTTTTCCACGTTGACAGTGTAGTTCAAAAAGTCGTCTTCCTTGACATCCAAAATGGTGATACTTCCTGTCACAAGGACGCCCTCAGTGCTCACTTCAGTGGTATTGATTGGTCTCGAGTCTGGCCTTTTCCTCCACTTGAAGGTTGGCGGTGGGAAGGCTATGACGGTCAAACTTAGTGTTGCGTTTTCGTGCAGATTTGAAGCAAACACCAGATTGTCAGATGAAGATGAATATCGCCTTGGGGCACCTGAATAAACAATGGATGCCGACATGACATAAATCAAACAAGAAATATGGCAGATAACCTGATCTTAAAGTGCCATTCGTTTTGATTTCCACTTTATTTAAACCCGAAAAAAGATAATGATGATGATAAAACATTTAAATCATAATTTAAGCAAATATATTGATCAATGTGAATCTTGAAACATGTGTGATTGGTCCCCCAAAGTTTCAAAGAAGGAAATTGAATGTTTGTTTGTTTGTTTGTTTGTTTGTTGTTAAACGACGCACTCAGCAATATTCCAGCTATATGACGGAGGTCTGTAACTTATCGAGTCTTGACCAGACAATCCAGTGATTGACATTGATCATGAACATCGGTCCACGCAATTGGGACCGATGCATGCATCAACCAAGTCAGTGAGTCTGACCACCCGATCCCGTTAGTCGCCTTTTACGGCAAGCATGGGTTGCTCAAGACCTATTGTGCTATATATGAACAGCAATATCAAGAAACTTATTTTGAAAAACATGTTACTTACAAGTGACTTGTAATAACACAGTCTGTGGGGTAGCTTTTCCGATCAAGTTCCCGGCCGAGCAGGTGTATTCCCCCCCTTCCTGGCAGGACACATCCAGTAGCATCGCTTTCATTGTTTGTTTGTAACTCCGCACTGGGTTATAGTTGCTGATCTTCCTTCTTCCTATGCTGGAGGTCTTGTTCCTGATCTCTATAGTAGAAGCCGGATAACTGCTGATGTTACACTGCAGTGTCACGTTGTCGTGTTCCGTCACGGTCACGGTTCTGTCCCCAGACGTGACACCAAAGTATTCTATACGAGGAGCATCTTAAACACCACAATAATTTCATTAATGAACCATGTTGTTATTACTATACACTTATCTCAACTCTCATTTATAATGGAGTTATATTTTCTAATAGTTATAAAGAATCAGTTTTACTTCTGGCTTCACACTACATTGTCACATTGTCACGTTGTCGTGTTCCCTTACGTGCCTGGTTCTGCTCCCTAACGTGACACCCAAATGTTCTATGCGAGGAGCATCTTAAACACCACAATATGATTATTAATAATTTCATCAATGAACAAGTTATCATTGATATCAACAGCTTCAATATGACTTCAGTGTTATAACAATATGGCTTCAATATGACTTCAGTGTTATTACAATATGGCTTCAATATGACTTCAGTGTGATTACAATGCGGCTTCAAATGACTTCAGTATTATACCAATATGGCTTCAATATAACTTCAGTGATATTACAATATGGCTTCAATATGACTTCAGTATTATTACAATATGACTTCAGTATATTAACAACATGGCTTCAATATAACTTCAGTGATATTACAATATGGCTTCAATATGACTTCAGTATTATTACAATATGGCTTCAGTATATTAACAACATGGCTTCAATATGACTTCAGTGTTATTACAATATGGCTTCAATATGACTTCAGTATTATTACAATATGGCTTCAGTTTATTAACAACATGGCTTCAATATGACTTCAGTGTTATTACAATATGGCTTCAATATGACTACAGTGTTATTACAATATGGCTTCAATATGACTTCAGTGTGATTACAATGCGGCTTCAAATGACTTCAGTATTATACCAATATGGCTTCAATTTGACTTCAGTGTTATTACAATATGGCTTCAATATGACTTCAGTATTATTACAATATGACTTCAGTATATTACCAACATGGCTTCAATATGACTTCAGTGTTATTACAATATGGCTTCAATATGACTTCAGTATTATTACAATATGGCTTCAGTATATTAACAACATGGCTTCAATATGACTTCAGTATTATTACAATATGGCTTCAGTATATTAACAACATGGCTTCATTATGACTTCAGTGTTTTTACAATATGGCTTTAATATGACTTCATTGTGGTTACAATATAGCTTCAGTGTTCAGTGACACCAAAATGTTCTATGCGAGGAGCATCTTAAACACCACAATATGATTATTAATAATTTCACCAATGAACAAGTTATCATTGATATAAACATATCTCGTGTGACGTTTCTACGATTATTATTATTATTATTATTATTATTATTCTATATTAATACATGAGTAACATATACTAGTATGTTTCCATGAACATAAGAAATGTCTGCTGAAAGAATATTTTTATATTTTAACCAATACAATAGAATAATTATGTCATATCTTAATATATCATACCTATATAGTTATTGTGCAGCCATATATGCCAAACTGGTCAGAATACTTAAAAAATAATACCTCAGACACAGTGACATTAACTAATAGGTGTACTCCCCTTTTTCATGAGGTTTGGTGAAAGGGGGGTTTAACGTCGCGTCCACGATCATTGCTCTCATATAGCGGCGTGTGTGTGTGTGTGTGTGTGTGTGTGGGGGGGGGGGGGGGGGGGGGGGGGGAGAGTGTGTTTGTAGGGGGTGAATGGGGGGTGCTTTAAACCTTGTTGCAATGAGTGTACTTAACAATTGCTTAAAACATTAATATCTTACAATAGTTACCTCCAGGCTCACAGACAAAGATGAGCGTTTCTTCTGTGGTTTTCCCCTGCACGGTGTGACTGTGTTGGTGGCTGTGCAGACATATACTCCTGCATCAGTCTTACGTATGTTCTTTATATGAAGCGTCCCATTGGCAGAGATGAAACCGCCTACACCTTTCTTTGTCCAAACTATTGACGTCACTTCCGGGTTTGCTTCTGCTGCACAGTGGATGGTCAAATCATCAGACTCGTTGACCACTCTCCTGGTACCGTCCATGTGCACGAAAGGTGGATCTAAAATGTGGAATTGAGATGTAGAATATTTGTCACACTGGTCGCAGTCCTACAATAAGGGGCGGTGGGGTAGCCTTGTGGTTAAAGCGTTCGCTCGTCACGCCGAAGACCCGGGTTCGATTCCCGACATGGGTACAATGTGTGAAGCCCATTTCTGGTGTCCCCCGCCGTGATATTGCTGGAATATTGCTAAAAGCGGCGTAAAACCAAACTCACTCACTCACTCCTATAATAAAGTGGTGTGTGCTGAGATGAGTACCACTGATTCCTCGTGTTATGTTCAGAAGATGATGCATGTTATTCTACAGTGACGTCAGCATTATAACAATACGACTTCAGTGTTATTAAAATATGACTTCAGCATTATAACAATATAACTTCAGTGTTATAACAATATGACTTCAGCATGATAACAATATAGCTTCAGTGTTATTACAATATGACTTCAGCATTATAACAATACGACTTCAGTGTTATTACAATATGGATTCAAAATGACTTCAGTGTGATTACGATATAGCTTCAGTGTTATTACAATATGACTTCAGCGGTATAACAATACGACTTCAGTGTAATTACAATATGACTTCAGCATTATAACAATACCACTTCAGTGTTATTACAATATGACTTCAGCATTATAACAATACGGATTTCAGTGTTATTACAATATGACTTCAGTGTTATTACAATATGGCTTCAATATGACTTCAGTATTAATACAATGTGGCTTCAATATGACTTCACTGTGATTACAATATAGCTTCAGTGTTATTACATAATGTCTTCAGACCCGTGAAGATTCCCGGGTAGAATAGGTCTTCAGCAACCCATGCTTGCCGTAAAAGGTGACTACGCTTGTCGTAAAAGGCGACTAACGGGATCTGTAGGTCAGGCTCGTTGACTTGGTTGACCCATGTCATCAATCCCAATTGCGTGGATTGATGCTCATGATATTAATCACTGGATTGTCTGGTCCAGACGCGATTATTTACAGACAGCCGTCATATAGCTGGAATATTGCTGAGTGCAGCGTTAAACAATAAACAAACCAATATGGCTTCAGTGTGATTACAATATAGCTTCAGATTGATTACAATATGGCTTCAATATGACTTCAGTGTTATTACAATATGGCTTCAATATGACTTCAGTGTGATTACAATGCGGCTTCAAATGACTTCAGTATTATACCAATATGGCTTCAATATGACTTCAGTACTATTACAATATGGCTTCAATATGACTTCAGTATTATTACAATATGGCTTCAGTATATTAACAACATGGCATCAATATGACTTCAGTATTATTACAATATGGCTTTAATATGACCTCATTGTGGTTACAATATAGCTTCAGTGTTATAACAATATGACTTCAGTGTTATTACAATATAGCTTTAGTGTTATTACAATATGACTTCAGTGAAATTACAATATGACTTCAGTGTTATTACATAAGATGTCCCAGACAAATGAATGAGGTGAGGCGAAATGGCGACGTGCATGCACGCATGTGTGTTTTTGTGTGTATGCCTGTGTGTGTGCCTGTGTGTGTGCCTGTGTGTCGAAATGTGTGCGTGCGTGGGGGGGGGGGGGGGGGGGGGTCCCCGATTGTGTGTGTGCTTCTGCCATGCCGCAGTTAAACATTGATACCCCACCCAGACACAGTATACTGACTGTTATCCACAGTCGGTAATGCCGACCGCGAGGCAGGGTAACAACAAGTACCATCTTTTAACGTCTTTTTGGTATGACGTGGTCGTAGGATCGAATCACCGACATTCCACTCTCAAAAATGAATGAAGGAACTGTATATCAATCATGTCAAAGTTAACTCTTCAGTGATAGTTCTATTGAACAAAGAAGGGAGTACATTTATCTGCTTATATCAGATACTTAATCAACATCCAGTACTTACAATGGACGGTGACTTTCACATTAGCCTGTCCCGGAGGCGATATGCCATTATCTGCCGTGCATCTGTACTTCCCCTGATTGGATCTCGCCACACGGTCGAGGGTGTAGATCTGATCGGCCCCACTCTTCAACACGACATCTCCGTGGTACCAAGTGAAGGTGGTGGGTGCAGGGTTACCTCCCTTGACAGTGCAGTTGAGGGACACATTGGATTCGTCGACCAGGAAGGTTAGTCCAGAGCATGGCTTCACGGCCTGTATTGCAACTTTTGGAGGATCTGCAATAATGCTTCATTCTATATAAATCAGGAGGCGCTATACATGAACCGGAAGTTATTGAATAAGTCCAGGCGTACATGTGAGTGAAGCCGTGAGAATTTCGGTTCAACGTGGTCTGCCCTCTGCAGTCAAATGATAGATCCTCCATATGAACCTAATTGAAGGCTGGTTGGCTGGTTTGTTATTTTACGCCGCACTCAGCCATGTTTCAGCTATATAACGGCGGTCTATAAATAATTGAGTCTCGATCAGACAATCCAGTGATTGACATCATGAGCATCGATCTACGCAATTGGGATATGTTGACATGCATCAACCAAGTCAGCGAGCCTGACCACCCGATCCCGTTACACGCCTCTTACGACAAGCATTGTCACCTTTTACGGCAAGCATCGGTTGATGAAGACCTATTCTACCCCGGATCTTCACGGGTAGACTAGTATGGTAGAGGGAATGATTAAATATGACTCATCCATGTCAGCATGAAGTGCACTGCTACATGTACACACGCTATGATCTTTACGTTGAGCTTTCATACCTCTTGATGGCTCGGTTGGTCATGCTCGTTGACGTGGTTGATTGTCTGGTCCAGACTCGATTATTTACAGACCTCCGTCATATTGCTGAGTGTTAAACATCAAACAAAAAACAAACAAACAGCAAAGTTACTGGGGCTCTGTTGTAACAGGGGATGACTTAGTGTTATACAGGGGTACCTGTATTTGCCATACTTACATCGCACATCCAAAGTAACCGTGTTGCTCCTCATCCCTCCTCCCTGGCACTGCCAATCAGTAGAGTCATCCCGAGAAACATCCCTGATGGTCAATGTGTACGTGTGTCGTTGTCCGTCTTCATCTGAACATTGGGTCCTGTTATTCCCCGTTATCTGTTGCCCTGTGTCTACTGCTACATGGCAGACAGATCGAAATGAAAGGTTATCACGTATCCTGAATGTAAATAACCCCGCGACATTCGCATTGACAACCTCGCAGGTAAACGTGAACTCACTCCCCAGAACGGAATACACTCCAGAGCCCTTCATGTTAATGGATCCACCTAGAAAAGACAGGGATGCTACACTGAAAACATGCAACGTTTTACGTTCGTCTGTCAAAACAGATGTACCATTTTATCAAATAGAGAGTTTTTAAGTATGATGTTGTTCGTCGAATATGCAAGTGGTATGGATGGAATACTATTAATTTGAGTGTATAGTTACTGTGTATGAGTACGAAGATGCCGCGAAGGTCTCCTATTCTTATGCGTGATGAGTAAAGACGTGTCAAGCAAGCATTTTAAATAAATTATTTCAGCTGGTTGTCAGGTAACTAAAGCTGTAATTCTTGTTTAACAGGGAGCTAAATACTGACACGAGGAAATGTCCTGCTTAATGACGTTATCATACTGATGAATATTGCAGTAATGAATTCTTATCACTGAGCATCACGCTGACAGCCGCCATTACATTATAGAGGACATAGGGTGAGTGAGTGAGTGAGTATGGTTTTACGCCGCTGTTAGCTATATTCCAGTAATATCACGGCGGGGGACACCAGAACTGAGCTTCACACATTGTACCCATGTCGGGATCGAACCCAGGTCTCCGGCGTGACGAGGAATGCTTTAACCACTAGGCTACCCGACCGCCCCATAGAGGACATGGAAAACGAATTACAAATTACGTTGTATCCGATGAACGTTGTTTCGAATTCCAGATTTTGATTAAGATTAGGGTTTTTCAACACTTTTCCACTGCTCTTTAGTTCCACCGAAGTGAAACATTTCTACAGCGTGTGTCTCTGTGATCATTCCCCAACAATAGGCCTGCATGCCATGACATAGCCGATCTTCAGGACACCGCTGACCTCACCTAAATATATTGTCGAGGTCACCTCATTCATGTACTTTGTTTGTGAAATCAAAATTGCTCTCGCAAAGATTAATGTAAGCAGAGGCGTTTCTTTTATTATTTCCAACCACAACAAGTAGAGCGCATCCGCAATGCTGTGGGCGGAGACACACATGATGTCCTTCCGACCACAACAAGTAGAGCGCATCCGCGATGCTGTGGGCAGAGACACACATGATGTCCTTCCGACATAAACAAGTAGAGTGTATCCGCGATGCTGTGGGCAGAGACACACATGATGTCCTTCCGACATAAACAAGTAGAGTGTATCCGCGATGCTGTGGGCGGAGACACACATGATGTCCTTCCGACCACAACAAGTAGAGCGCATCCGCGATGCTGTGGGCAGAGACACACATGATGTCCTTCCGACATAAACAAGTAGAGTGTATCCGCGATGCTGTGGGCAGAGACACACATGATGTCCTTCCGACATAAACAAGTAGAGCGCATCCGCGATGCTGTGGGCGGAGACATATATGATGTCCTTCCGACATAAACAAGTACAGCGCATCCGCAATGCTGTGGGCGGAGACACACATGATGTCCTTCCGACATAAACAAGTAGAGCGCATCCGCGATGCTGTGGGCAGAGACAGACATGATGTCCTTCCGACATAAACAAGTAGAGCGCATCCGCGATGCTGTGGGCGGAGACATATATGATGTCCTTCCGACATAAACAAGTACAGCGCATCCGCAATGCTGTGGGCGGAGACACACATGATGTCCTTCCGACATAAACAAGTAGAGCGCATCCGCGATGCTGTGGGCAGAGACACACATGATGTCCTTCCGACATAAACAAGTAGAGCGCATCCGCGATGCTGTGGGCGGAGACATATATGATGTCCTTCCGACATAAACAAGTAGAGTGCATCCGCGATGCTGTGGGCGGAGACACACATGATGTCCTTCCGACATAAACAAGTAGAGCGCATCCGCGATGCTGTGGGCGGAGACACACATGATATCCTTCCGACATAAACAAGTAGAGTGCATCCGCAATGCTGTGGGCGGTGACACACATGATGTCCTTCTTACCGGGTGTGACAAAAACTCGACGTTTTAAGCCCTACCGCATATCACAAACCTGCGGACGGACGTCAATACGACCAAAGTCATCGTCAGCCCGCTTAACTCTATCATCAATTAAAAGGTTTGTTTTTATTGCTATTTGGTGAATCTTGATCTGAGTAATGTTGTGTGTGATGCGAGCAAACCCTAGTCATATGTACAAGCGAACCAGCTCTGCTCACAGCTTCACTAAATATAGATGTTAGTGATCAGGAAGTATACTCACTGCCAAAAGAAACGCGAATACCAAACATCTTGGTTAATATATGAAGACTTGCTCATATTCAACAGATATCGATTGGTTCGATGCATAACCGACCACACTGGTATGTTGTGTGAACCGATGCTCATGAACGCATCACATGTGACGTCATAGATCCATGACTCGACAGGCACCATTTGTCTCGTGCAGGATTAGTGCGTAAAGTCTGGAAATCACGTGCAGCATATCGTGATAAGAATACTTACTCTGTGGTAAACCTTGCCTGATTGTTAGTTTTGTACATCAACTGGTACACATGGGAAACATCTCTTCTTGACGTACATACTTCTCCATATCTTTCTATGGTTCGCATGGATAAATTTGCTAATAATATTTCTCCAGGACAAGATGGCGTCTCAACTGAGTTCTTAAAAGCGTCAAAACCTTACACACTCTCTCTTTTTACATTAATATGTTATAAAATATTTCAAGATATGTGGGGATATCTTCACGTCAGGGTACTCCATGTAGGATATATGGAGGCTGACCCCAATAATAACAGAGACATATCATTGATAGATTCATGATCTCTATGTAATTTGCCAAAATAAGATATAAGTTTAACACCGCTTAATATGCTTAATTTTCAAGAATACTACAAATGATGTGTATGTCTGTACTCTATGTGGGTGTATGTCTGTGTGTGTGTTGTGGGTGTATGTCTGGATGTGTGTTGTGGGTGTATGTCTGGATGTGTGTTGTGGGTGTATGTCTGGATGTGTGTTGTGGGTGTATGTCTGGATGTGTGTTGTGGGTGTATGTCTGGATATGTGTTGTGGGTGTATGTCTGGATGTGTGTTGTGGGTGTATGTCTGTATGTGTGTTGTGGGTGTATGTCTGTATGTGTGTTGTGGGTGTATGTCTGTATGTGTGTTGTAGGTGTATGTCTGTATGTGTGTTGTGGGTGTATGTCTGTATGTGTGTTGTGGGTGTATGTCTGTATGTGTGTTGTGGGTGTATGTCTGTATGTGTGTTGTAGGTGTATGTCTGTATGTGGATTGTGGGTGTATGTCTGTATGTGTGTTGTGGGTGTATGTCTGGATGTGTGTTGTGGGTGTATGTCTGTATGTGTGTTGTGGGTGTATGTCTGTATGTATGTCTGTATGTGTGTTGTGGGTGTATGTCTGTATGTGTGTTGTGGGTGTATGTCTGGATGTGTGTTGTGGGTGTATGTCTGTATGTATGTCTGTATGTGTGTTGTGGGTGTATGTCTGTATGTGTGTTGTGGGTGTATGTCTGTATGTGTGTTGTGGGTGTATGTCTGTATGTGTGTTGTGGGTGTATGTCTGTATGTGTGTTGTGGGTGTATGTCTGTATGTGGATTGTGGGTGTATGTCTGTATGTGTGTTGTGGGTGTATGTCTGTATGTGTGTTGTGGGTGTATGTCTGTATGTGTGTTGTTGGTATATGTCTGTATGTATGTCTGTATGTGTGTTGTGGGTGTATGTCTGTATGTGTGTTGTGGGTGTATGTCTGTATGTGTGGTGTGTGTGTATGTCTGGATGTGTGTTGTGGGTGTATGTCTGTATGTGTGTTGTGGGTGTATGTCTGTATGTGTGTTGTGGGTGTTTGTCTCTATGTATGTCTGTATGTGTGTTGTGGGTGTATGTCTGTATGTGTGTTGTGGGTGTATGTCTGTATGTGTGTTGTGGATGTATAACTGTATGTGTGTTGTGGGTGTATGTCTGTATGTGTGTTGTGGGTGTATGTCTGGATGTGTGTTGTGGGTGTATGTCTGTATGTATGTCTGTATGTGTGTTGTGGGTGTATGTCTGTATGTGTGTTGTGGGTGTATGTCTGTATGTGTGTTGTGGGTGTATGTCTGTATGTGTGTTGTGGGTGTATGTCTGTATGTGGATTGTGGGTGTATGTCTGTATGTGTGTTGTGGGTGTATGTCTGTATGTGTGTTGTGGGTGTATGTCTGTATGTGTGTTGTTGGTATATGTCTGTATGTATGTCTGTATGTGTGGTGTGTGTGTATGTCTGGATGTGTGTTGTGGGTGTATGTCTGTATGTGTGTTGTGGGTGTATGTCTGTATGTGTGTTGTGGGTGTTTGTCTCTATGTATGTCTGTATGTGTGTTGTGGGTGTATGTCTGTATGTGTGTTGTGGGTGTATGTCTGTATGTGTGTTGTAGATGTATAACTGTATGTGTGTTGTGGGTGTATGTCTGTATGTGTGTTGTGGATGTATGTCTGTATGCGTGTTGTGGGTGTATGTCTCTATGTATGTCTGTATGTGTGTTGTGGGTGTATGTCTGTATGTGTGTTATGGGTGTATGTCTGTATGTGTGTTGTGGGTGTTTGTCTCTATGTATATCTGTATGTGTGTTGTGGGTGTATGTCTGTATGCGTGTTGTGGGTGTTTGTCTCTATGTATGTCTGTATGTGTGTTGTGGGTGTATGTCTGTATGTGTGTTGTGGGTGTATGTCTGTATGTGTGTTGTGGATGTATGCCTGTATGTGTGTTGTGGGTGTATGTCTGTATGTGTGTTGTGGGTGTTTGTCTGTATGTGTGTTGTGGGTGTATGTCTGGATGTGTGTTGTGGGTGTATGTCTGTATGTGTGTTGTGGGTGTTTGTCTGTATGTATGTGTGTATGTGTGTTGTGGGTGTATGTCTGTATGTGTGTTGTGGGTGTATGTCTGTATGTATGTCTGTATGTGTGTTGTGGGTGTATGTCTGTGTGTGTGTTGTGGGTGTATGTCTGGATGTGTGTTGTGGGTGTATGTCTGTATGTGTGTTGTGGGTGTATGTCTGTATGTGTGTCCGTGGTCTAGTGGTAGAGCGTCCGCCCGGAGAGCGGAAGGTCCGGGGTTCGATCCCCGACCGGGTCATACCAAAAGACGTTAAAAGATTGTACTTGTTGTTACTCTGTCTGGCGCTCGGCATTAAGGGGCTAAAACAAGGACTGGTCGGCTCGGAGTCAGTGTACTGTGTCTGAGTGGGGTATTCATGTTAAACTGCGGCATGGTATCTCAATGAGCTAGCACTATAAATCGGACTAGTACAAACAGCCACACACACACACGTGCATGCACGTCGCTTTATAGGTGCAATAATCTTGGACGCGACGTTAAACCCAATTTCACCTCACCTCACCCAGAACCAAATGTATAAATGTTGCTCAGTATTTGACGTTTAGCAAACAGTTGCCTCAGTCCGATGACGTCACTGGTAAAAGACACTCGGAAACGGAAAACACTTCAAATCCCAATAATCAGTGTCACCTAACGTCGGCTCTGTTTACATGTGTTAGTTAGCTCGGTCCCACGATGCACTTGTGGAATATTTCGTTTCTCGTGATTCAAATTTATAAAAACTTAAATTCACATCCTTCTGTTTGCTGCCTGTGTTTTATCGATAATCTCACACTGATCGGATACTAGATATAGGACTTAGTAATCCACAAACTACCCACATTAGTGGTGTTTTAGTATTTCGAAAATGCTAACTTTGTCTCTAAACGATACGGTGCCGGCAATTAGGTGTAACAGCCCGTCAGTTGGCCGTGTTCAAGGATTTGCAATGTACGACATAGCTTATTACAGCTTTCATTTTAAACCATTCTCGGAAAAAACACACTGTTAGTCTTTAACTCGGCATCTTAGAAAGTAACACAGTTTGCTCGCTGAATACATTGTTTATTCCTGGGAATAATCTTCCCATAACACACTTATGATAACCTGTATATACTTACAAAGAATAACAAAGATGTAGAGGATGTTCCGTTTGTCGAGTAAAAAAACATGTTTCCCTCATCTCGTGACGGGGAAAGGAGATATTTTCACGAGGTGATAGAAAAATGATGTTTCACTCGGCACATAAAATATCCTATTTATTTTATACTTTTTGTGTATTGAATTATTTCATTACAACCAAGTAACGTCAATTCTCCCTCATTAACTCGCAGTGACGTTTCACCATTGTTTGTAGGTGCGACCTGAAAAGTAGTTCCGTCTTTGTAAAATATAACCAAACGTACCCCCAAAACATATTTTACGTCAATATATAGACACTGCTGTTCAGTATATTTGACTGTTCTTTTGATAATGTTAGCAATTATCCCTGTAGTTTATCCAGATTCCCGATGGTTAATTCTGACTCGATCGCCGAATGACGAGGGCGACGCCATGTTTGTTTTTAAACAGTGAAAGTAGTCCCTACTTGATCTTTGATATTTGCATCTCTATCCGCATATGACACCAACGGATATCGTTTTTATCCGTTGGCTTTATCCTGCCGAGAAACCCACACATTATATGATAAAACTCATTATCATACATTTAGATATCATTATATACTAAATCAACTTCAGCAAAAAAAATTCTTGAAATTTACGAGATGGTTGTTGGAAGCGAAAGAATACACGCTTACAATAATGACGCTTTGGAAATGAACAGTCTCTATTGACGTTTTATTGGAGAAACTTACAGCTTATAGCGAAACAAGAGAATAACGAACAGCAAGAAGAGATATTAACTCCATAAATGACCATCTGTCATTATCTTGCCTTGCAAATGTGGAATGAACGCAAATAGGAAGTCAGCAGTCTGTGTATCAAGACAATCGTTCCATCAAAGTGTTATCTTCACTTAAGTGCCATGTTCACTGCAATGCAATTATCACTATTCTCAATTTCAGAAAACTAAGTCTTTCACACTGAAGCTCATAAACAGAAAGATTCACAAGGAAAACTTTTAAATATACTCACAGAGAGTGGCCCGAACACATAACAGTAGAAACAACAGATGTCTCAAAAGCCCAATTTCTGCCATGGTGATAGCTGAACCGGATTGTCACTGACGTGAGTAAACTTTAACAGCCTGATTTCAATTTATATCCCAGTTCTAATTCTGACATACAGTTCCGGACATAACCCACTTTAGGTATTTCCTGTATGATGGGACACTTCCGATAAAGGCTACGACTTGCAATGTTCGTGTGACGTAATACGGAGTAAGAGTTATGCCCCTTATTGTTTTTAGTGATGGTTCAAAATTAAAGCTGGATTTTATCAGGTCTTTCAAAGAACATTTCTTCGTTTTTTTAACAATATTTCGTTTTTCAGAGAGAGTCCACCTGTTTCTTTACGTTAGACAACATTGTCCCGTACATTTGGCATAAATTCAAGAAACCAGTTACATCTAAGTTAAACTTATGACAAGGCGTTCTTTATACATACTTCCTTGTGAGTATAAATCTCAAGTCCACCACACAATTGAAAAATATGTTGTATATATTATATTCATATCAATAATACTGGTAGATACTGCTGATCAGAATAATAACAGGATATACTGAAATTATGAAATGTAATGATTGCAACCACTCCTTAATAATATTAAAATGAAAAAGACACCCCAGTATTGGATATATAGAGCATATTATATGAGTGTTGATGTCATACTATGTTTACGACACGAGTGTCTAAATTCCAGTATTTCCCGTGAGCATTGATCACCAGCGTTGTCCTTGAAAACCACAATTTGTAAATGACGTCAACAATTCTTCGGCTATGACGCCGTTTCCAATGTGACATCATTCCGACCTCACGTCTGAATACGATTCGAATGACGTCAATTATGACGTCCGGATGACGGAAACAATACACTGTTGTCTAGGGCATATATGATTTTTATGAACTCTGATATGTTCGCCCTCGTGGGTAATAAGCATGTTTATCCCCTACGAGGACGGCATTGCTGACGTCATTCTAATCATATTGTGACGTGATGTCGGAATGACGCCACACTAGAAACGACGTCATAGTTGGAGATTGTTGACGTCATTTACAAATTGTGGTTTTCTAGGACAACGGTGGTGATCAGGGGGCCGTTTTCGCGGGCTTGACCAGAAAAATGGTCATGACCAGAAACGTAGTTTATCGTTTTAGCGTTGCGGTCATGTGACCGCCCGGTCGTTCGGTCATGAAAACACACAACCGCGGTCACGACGCGGTTGTCAGCCCAAACAATATGGCGTCGACGACGTCTCATCTTGTGCCGCTAGCACTTTCCGAAGAAGAATCTGGCATCAAATACAAGTTATTGGTACCTCCTGATGTCGTACAGAGGTGCAGACAAGGTGAGTGTAGCAGAATGTTAACTTTATCAAGAATTAGGAAGGTGGACATGTTGAAATGCATCATATTTGTTGTCGTCTGGGAGCGGGGCTGAAGGCGGGACAATCGTCTGCCATCTGTAGGCCCTGTATTTATATCTCGCACTCATGAGTGTGTGAATTAAATGGGTTAATTTTTTAAGAAAACAAAGTGAGGTTACATATAGACACTTTGTATGTAGATCTATGTATAAATCATCAGGTAGGTGTCCACAAACGGCACGGTGAATGCTGTCACTAGTGTCAGTACGGACCGCTCGCAAAAACAATTAATGGAAATAGCCGGGCTCGCACAGGCTGATTATCATATTATCATTAGGCCTAAATCTAATGTTATTAATTCACTAGATCTACTTGTTACATGAGGTTCACCACACACAAAGCAAATGTTGGATGTATTCTCTGTAAACAAAGCGAGAGACACGTCCTGTCGATCTATAACTGGAAAATGGAACCTAATAATAATATACATAATGTGAAACAATATAGATCTAAAATGACTGGTATTTTTTACCAGATCAACACTGCACACGTGAAAACTATAGAAAACACAAATGTGAAATATCTGCCTTGAATCTAACTGTTTGCAAACATGTCAATTTAGCCTATGATGTGCTGATGCTCCAGGTACTCCAAAATATAAAATTATCTACCAGGTTTATTTGAATACTCACCCATAAACATAAAAAGATAAAATTGTCATAATTGTTACAATACCTTGTATCTTCTTTTCCAGATGCAGTTCTTTCATCCTTTATTTTGGAGAGAGTGAAGAGCAGTTTTGCGACAAGTTCAACAGGAGAAAGAATCTTAAGTATGTTTTAATTTTTGAATCTGTATTGTTTACAATATCATCAAAACAGTACCTTTTGGAAGTACGCTTATCACATACATACAGATTCTTTTGGAAGATAGCCATGCAAATATCATAATATGATAAGACGAGAACACTTATAAAATAGCATTTAAGTTAGTTAGTCCGCTCTCTCCAACCTACACAATAGATTAATTAAACAAAACCAACATCATGCAGCTTACAGCTTTCATCACCCACAAACCTTACCTTACACCCACAAATAATTGACCTTAAAGCTAATATTGTCCAACTGGAGGAATATCTACAAAAAAAACACATTCACAAATGTCAAATTATACTGCACCCATAAAAAAATAAAAAATAAAAAACAAACTTTTCTCTAATTTGTAACATCTACAAATTCTGCAAAACTTCTCATCTAGACAGCCATTCTGGGGAAATAATCTCAAACTAATCACACTTTTCATCATCAATTATGATCTGTGTACAGTACAAACTGCACAATTAATAAAAAGGAAAGTCTCATGAACAGACAGAACCAATGGCATCATCAGTATTTGCATGTCATTAATGTAACTCAGACATTTTCTTGGTGTTTAGAAACAATAATGTTAAAAAACGAAACATATTTAAAACCAAATCATAATAAGGAAATTATCAGTACTTTGACTCTGACAATATATCTGAAACATCATAAGGTTAAACAAAATAATAGTCTTGGTTCTCATGCAACACCCGCATCATCATAAAGTCTGCAGCATGTTTTGTTTTTATTTCCAAATTAAATAAATTTATAAAAATCCTAATACTTAAACACAGTGCACAACCAAACTGGAAAATGGAAACGAAGACGAAACATGCATGAACTTTATGATGATGTGGGCAGTGCCTGAGAACAAGACTTATTTTGTTTGGCCTAACAAAGAATATTCAAAATGTGAAATATATAATAATTCATTCTTTGACTCTTTTGTCTGATTACAGATGTGACAGAATCTCTGCAACTCATGACTGACATGAATGTGATTTTAGTGTTTGGTGACCTGGCAAGAAATCAAGGCGTTGCACTCGGTCCAAGAGCAGAATTTGATTCTGTGTCACAGAGCGCGTACAGCAGAGATATTCCTGATGCCGATCTAACTTCACTCGCTGTTGCCGTCCCAAAACATCTGTGTACCCAAGAAAAGGTTCGGTTCATGGAGCTCGCAGTGGTCTCACTACCTACACAGTGTATGTATTAAAAAACCTGTTGGTATTGTATTCTTTTAAAATTAGAATCCTGAGAAATTTACTTTCAAAGCTTCATCAATTCTGCTGTAAAATACATTGAATATTTTCACTATTTGATACCTTTGACGGTTAGGGGTTTCAAGGTCAGAATACGTCTCCAGTGGCTCATATTTGTCATGAGAACCGACTACAGTTGAGATCTGACTCACTGACTTTTCAGATTGTGTGTCATTGTGGTGTAACAACAGGCACACACTCACGCTCTCATATTTGCAGTTTTAACTCATCAGCATTTGCAATGCCTGGTGTCTTTTCATACTCACACACTTGTATATTCCATGTGATGTATTTTGCTTTAATATATAATGTTTACTAATAATTTCATAAATTTTATTCAGTTAGTCCTAAATTGGGTTCGATTATTCCAGCTCGGACACAAAGCTGCTTTGATGCTTTCAACAAACAGACAACCCCAACAGGTAAAATAAGCAAATACCTGTACATTATAAAATTGAGATTCAGGGGCAGGTTCATGAAAAAATTACATTGAAACAGGGGAGATTGCCAGAATTTATCACAACAATGAGGGAGTGGGGGCATAAGAAAATGATAGTTCTATTTTTTTAAATTTGAAATTTCTACAATATTTAGGGGCTGCTCATTTATTTAGGGGTAAAATATGATAGTCCTAAGACCAATTTGAACGGTCCCACTTCCCCTTTAATAAACCATCAAATTTCAGTTATCAGTATCATTTATAGTAGCTTTGGCCTTGAAGATATATTGCGTTGGTTTATTTACTAATTATTATCTTTTATGTTACAGATTATCAAGCGGGTGAAGCACAAGTGCAACCAGTGTGGTCGAACCCTAGATTCGTAACACAGAAGGACAAAGAAGCTACTTATACTTTGATTGACATATATGGTAGTTCTGAAATTAGAAAGTTGATTGGAGATAAGAAAACCAAGTCAAAATATGTTTTTGAATTAATAGTGCAACAGATGGAGGAGAAAGGATTCTTGATTTCAGACAGGGCTGAAAAGTCTTGGGAACGATGTGCCCAAAAATGGAGAAACTTGGAGAGATCGTTTAAAGACTATATTTTCCATCAAAACAAGACAGGAGCAGGAAAGAAGAAGAAGAAGCCAGATTTTTTCGATGAATTGTATTCCATCATTGGACAGAAACACACTGTAAGTCCTGTGGCACTTAGTGACACATCTGTACCTGGTGTCACATTTGAACAGATGAACTTTGACTTCACATCAAACAGCTCATCACCTTTGAGAAAAGCTGTCACAAATGATAATCAGGTCAAGGATGCTGACTGCCAAGAAGCACCATCAACAGGAAAAGCTAAAGCAAAGACGAGGAAGCTGACAGTTGTTACCGAGCTGCTTCATCAGTATAGAGAGGAGGATCTCCAACTAGAAATGGAAAGGGAACAGAAAGAACAGGTTCGATTTGATGAGCTGAAAACACTTTTGGTAGGTCAGCATCAGGATCGCATGAAAGCCATGTATGCACTTATTGATGCCTTGAAAAATAAAACATAAAGCATGATATGTTAACATTCTTGGATGTTAAATGTGCTCTCATCCTTCAATTATTTGCACTGTTAAATAACCTGGATGTTAGTTACCATAGTTACCTGAT